TATATATCAATAAAAAAAATAATATTGGATATAATTTTTTCTCTTCCTCTGCATGTTTTAACGCTTTTGTTAAACCCCTGATAATGTTTTTGCAAAAATTTTGCTTCTGTGACAAAATTGTTTGATATATATCATGAGCTACAGTGATAAACTGTTCATTCATAATTTTGCTTGTATATCTTTTTTTTGTGATTTTATTAGAAAACACATTTATTATGTGTACTTTAAATTGAAAAACAATATTCTTTTGTTTTACAATTTGTCAGAAAGTATAATAATGTAAATTTTAAAATAACTTCAACTAATATAGTTAACACAAATGAGCTGTCAAGACTAAAGATAAGAAAAAGTCTATTGTATGGTTTTGAGAATTTTGAAAGAAAAGAAAATGGTAACATTTCAAGCATGTTTTAGACACAATAGGTAAAACAAACAGCTCACTATACAGTGATAAATGAACCCTTTCCAGACCAGTGGAGTGTCACGTCACTGAGATCCCTCATCTTTTTTCTTCTCACAGTGAAAATACTTAACCAAACTGTATGAAGCATACAACAAACATACTAAATAATATCTAGTTTCAGTTTAAAAAATTAATATGACTTGATTTAGTTTTACTGTCAATTTTCTATGCATGAAATTTTCAAAATTTTGTTGTAAGACACTGTTTTGTAAAAAAAAAAATATTTAAAATACTTCCTCTCTTCCTATAATTTTTAATCTTTTATATATTAATCAGAAAGCTCAATATTATATTTAATCAATCAGTTCCAACTTAATTGTAGCTCATTAACATTTCATTAGGTTCTTTATTTTGCTGATAGTAAAAACACTGCAGAAATTAACAAAGATTTGTCCTTACCTTTCAAAATGCCACTGGGTCAGATCAGCTGACAGTATTTTTGTTAATAATATTCATAAGCAAGATCAATTTATACAATAAATATTGTTTCTTTCCAATCAATTACAAGTTCTTTTATTTATGTGGGTTATTTGAATATGATAAACTTAACAATAATATTCAGCAAATAAGGATTTGAGGAATTGAGATATTTTGCCATCAATTACCATACTCCCTTAACCTAATTAGACTTATTTTAGAAGTTTAAAACTAATATAATTTAAGATAGAAACATTTTCAGAAATAAAAATTATGTATAAATAAACTCTAAAAAATTTCTCAGATTTGTGGTTTGTTCCTAAGATTTCTAAACTTCTCAATCACTAGATTCCATTGTTATTTTTTGCAATTGCTACTTCCAGTCACTTTCCAAGGAAATTATAAGTTACTTCCTACACCACTTTATTATTACTACATTAGCATAAATAGTTTAAAGTCTGCTCTATACATTAGTATTTGAATTTTCCCTATAGCTATTTTCAAGGCTAATTTTCTTTAGTAATTGTTTAGACCATGTGCTGTGAGATCATACAAGGGTGCAAAACTGTACTAATAAGATCAGTGAAAGAGAAGAAAAATCACATGAAAAATATGCCATGGATAGTTATATTCTCAAGGGATCTTAGATTCTTAGCAAATATATAACCATGCTTTGAGATTGGTAGAAAAAATTAAAATAATTGACAGGTATACTGTTTTCAGGTGAGACTCCGCAGAAATGTCATTTCAAACACTTTTCTCTTTGCAAATTACATTAAATATACATAGCAAATGCCAGTTGCAAGTATCTTTTCAATTAAAAATTGTTGAAACAATTGCTAAAATTTTGAAATTTGATATGCAGTTCTGCACTCTACACTGAAGGCTGCTTTCTGGTCTGGATAGGGTTAACTATAAGTAATGTAATTCACTATTAAGTGGAACATTTACGTCAACTTAAAATATATTTGAAAACAGAACAAGTGCTAAGTTGCTTGCACTCTCAGCAAGTCTATTAAGAAATCAATATTAAATCAGAAGATGAACATTCTTCCTTTGAATCAGAACAAGTTAAGCAAACAAGGTATAAAAATTCTGGTACTCACATGGAATAGTAGGCCATATAACTTCTAATAATTAGTTAATTGGTCAAGTATTGAGATGGGACAAATATCTGATCTAATAGTGTATTAATTGTATGGTGAATTGGATATTCAGATAGCATTCCCATCAATGTATTATCTCACAATATTAAACAATTATTATTTTACTTGTACATGGATGGCCTTGGGGTGGCTCCCCCTGGGTTCTTTGGCTGGTCTTGTTGAGCTGGTCAACTGCATGCCACTGTTGGACGTTCTCAACAGATGTTGTGGACATTGTTAAGAAGCTACGTTCTGGGGAAATCTTGGTGGAAACATCTACATCAAACTCGCAAACTCCTCTTGAAATCAAAGGCCATTGGTACATATCTATTAAGGCTACTTCCCATGCTGCTATGAATTCCCCTGAAGAAGTTATCATAGAGAGGAATTTAAGAAACATTTCCAAGTTGGAGACCCTCGTTGGTTTCTACAGCTAAGGAGTTTATGCTGTGTGACGTATCTCCTCTCATAAAGATGGAATTGTGCTGCCTACCAGTCCTCTTGCATTGAAGTTTACATTGCCATGTCCACCTGCCAGTGTCAAGGCAGGTTATCAGAACTGTAATGTAAGGCTTTATATTCCTAACCCTCTTAAATGTTTCCAGTGTCAGAGGTTTGGACATTCTAATACATCTTGTTGTGGTTCTTTGATGTGTGCTAATTGTGGTGGCAAAGACCATGATGCCTACAAATGTCAATTAGACCCTCACTGTGTAAATTATGGTAGTTCCCACCCCACCCTTCTTACTTTTGATCTTCCCCTAAGTGGGTGGAGGAAAAAGAGGTACAGTGCTTGAGGACTGTAAATAACATTTCTTATCCAGAGGATTAGAAGTTGTTGTCCCTTGTTCCATCTTGGACATATGCTGCTGTATGTTGCTCCACTGCTACAGTGGGTGATAAATCTTTCCATGTCTCCAATAGAGTCTTTCTCTCATCATGTAAAGAGTGTTTTTGCCCTCCATGGTTGGAAGAGTTGATAAGTCCATGTGTATTCCTGTCTCTGTTCCCACTGTTGCATCCAGTGACTGCTTGGGTCCATCTCCTTTGGCTCTGAGGTGCAGAACTATTAATCGATCATACCCTCAGTCACCAGTCTCCTTCTTTTGACAAAGCAGGGCAGGGCAGGTTCCATGGAGGTCGACAGAACTCTTTCTACTAAAGAAGAAAAACATTCTGGTCACAAACAGAAGGGTTTTCGTCCAGTTCTCCTCCACCTAAATAAAAATGGCCACTTTTATACAGTGGAACTGTCAAGGTTTTCATTCTGATTTGAATGACATTAAGGCCTTGATCGATTCCTTTCATCCTGTATGTTTCTTCTTACAGGAAACATTCCTGAGACCTGCTGATACTGTCACCTTTTGGCTGGTTACTTTATACTGGAATGTCAGGTTGTTTGATGGACAAATTCATTGATGTGTGGTACTGCTGGTTGACCAGCATATACCCACCATGTCCGTGCCACTCCATACACTATTGGAGGCCGTGGCTGTCCATATCTCCATGGGTCATACCAATACTGTATGTTCTGTTTACCTATCTCCAGGAGAGACTATCAATCAGACCTTGATGGTCTTATTCAACAGCTGCCATCTCCTTTCTTCATCTTGAGAGACTTTAATGGACACATTTCCCATCCGGGGTGGTGCTGATATTGATGGGAGGGGTCGTTCTGTAGAGCATATGCTCTCAGATCACAATACTGGTTCCTTTACCTATTTTCATTCATATAGTCAGTCTTTTACTGCTATTGGTCTGTTTATCTGTTCCCCTTCACATTTTTTCTCATTTGTCTTGGAGGGTTAATAGTGACCCATGGGGCAGTGATCATTTTCCCATGATTTTACTGGCAATTGAATACAGTTGTTGCCACCTGACTAGGCTGGCCAAACATCCTGCTTTAGGCAAGACAGTTCTACTTTTGAGCATTCTGTCCTGCCCACCTCAAGCAGGATGTTAATTTGTCCTTCTTTTTGAGGCCTGTCTAAAAAGAATTATATAAGTTATCTTACATATACTAAAACAGCAGGAACTGAAGGCCACAATAACCATTGACGTATTTTTATTATAATTTTATGTAGTTGCCATTGGCAACACTATGCGTGGAGCCGCAGTTTACATGTACAAGGCGAGTCGGAGTCTGAGACGGTCAGTCTGCCGAAGGCCACGTTGGGTTGTGGATGACTTTATTTCTTGCTTTAATTAAGCCTTTAAAGAAATACTGAAAAGAACGACTACATTTAACCATGAATGGGCCAAAGAATTTGGATTTATTGCTTAGAGCAGAAAAGGTGACTTTCATGCATTTTGTACACTATGCCATTGTGATGTGAATATTAGCGGCACGGGAAAAAAATCCAGTTGAATGGCACGCTGCTACAGATAAACATAAAGTTAACACTCGTAGTGCCGGTACGTCATCACTGTTATCATTTTTCTCCC